GAGGCGGATTTCCCGCTTCTGGACCTCGGTGACCTTGAGGCGGATTTCTCGCTCCTGGACCTCGGTGACCTGGAGGCGGCTGATTTCTCACTCCGGACGGAGCCGACGCTCGAGCGTCTCGAGCCGGACCCAGTCGGCGACGGGGACCGACTCTCCGACTTACGACTGCCGTCCAGCTTGTTCGACCCCATTGGACTGTGGCTGGTGGATCTCGAGGCGCGGCTGCCGCTAGCGTTCGACGCGGGTGAGGCCGGTGCGCCGTTCTCGTCCTCGGAGTGCTCGCTCCTGACATTGCTCGACGTCCGCACCGGCGCCTGCGACGCTCGGCTACCGCTGCGGCTCGATCTCGAGGACGCGGACGCGTTATCGGACTCCGAGCCTGAAAAACATAATCGCGAGATCAGAGCACCGTCCGTGGTGATGAGGTATAACCTCTCGAGTAAGAATATCGTTAAACAAATCGGTTTTGTTTAATACTGTAAATACAGAATGATATACCGATATTTTTCCAGAGTAATCCGCGAAGGAACGGTATAAATGATGTATTCGTTGATGTTACGTACCAGAATCGCCGCTGGAATCGCGTAAGGTTTCTCGTACCGGTGACATGTTTACCATGTGTTTGAGGTTCGCAACGAAACTGTTTTAAAACAGCTTCGAGCTGCTTGGAGAGAAACGGCTCGCACAAGATTCAGCAGCGCATACTGCACAGAAAGAAACGATACCGCAGCTAATCACCTTTCCTTATTTTTATTTTTGTGTTAACTTTTTTTTATTTTTAGGAAAAACAAGAGGCTTTAAGTGACGTGTCCCTTTGAACTTCCAATTCTTCCAAATCTTCGATCTTTTCTCTTTTAGGGATGCGCGATGTTGACCGATTAATCGAAACGTCCGATTTTATTATCGATTTTATCGATTATTATTGCCCGATGTTTTTGCAATCCGATATATCGATATTCGGTTTTTTTTTGTGAATATCGATTTTTTACATTCTTTTGATAAGCTAAGTTCATTTTTGCTATTAGTGCAAATAGTGTAATTGTTGGTTCGATCTAGAACTAAGAGCCAATCACGTTCGATTGCTACTGTCTGCGAAGCTGAAGCCAATCGAAGGCATCGAAGCTCGTCGAAGCGGCTAGTTATTTACTATTATTTGATACGCGTAATGGCTCCAGCATAGTCGCGACGCCAAGCGCAATGCGCGACGCGACGAGCGATATCCAATGAGTGTACAGTTTTTCCGGAAAAACAGTACGCTCATTGGATATCGCGCGTCGCGAATCGCGCTGGTGTGCTAGAGCCATTGGCCTAGTTTACACCGATCTCTTGATACGCGTATCAAATAGTATATTTGAACTGATCAGCCAATAATCAGACTTATTTACTAGTTATTTACTATTTAATACGCGTATCAAGTGATCGATGTAAACTAGGTCATAAACATGATACTGCGACCTGCGACCTGCGACACGCGAGAAATTTGAAATTTGAAGAAGCCACCCAGCAGTCTGCCGACCTTCTCTAGCTCTTAGCTCTAGACGGAAGACTCTCGAAGTCTCGAGACTCTCGAGAAGGAGAAGCTGGAGAAGCAGAGCAAGCAGGAAGCAGGACGTTGCTGCGTTGACGACGGAGAACGAGGAACCGACACCGCCGATTGATTGACGTCGAAGTGGTACCTCATTGCCCACGGCTAGATTCGCTTGTCGTGCACTCGGACGAGAACTTGAAAGATCAGAACCAGAATTCCATCAAATTCGAGGAAGAGGACAAGGATCTGTTTTACGTCGGTCCGGTCGAGCGTTAGGCACGCAGGATCCGTATGGACAACGCGTGCTGCAAATCGCGTCGATCCTACGAAACCTCAGCTTCACGCCGGAGAACCGGGAGAACGCGACGATATTAGGCAGAAACCGGTGTTTCCTGCGATTCGTGCTGCTGTGCGTGAGAGCGAGGTGGAACAATCTGCACAAATCTGCATCAGCTCGTCTTCGACATACTAGGGAACATTGCGAACGAAGTTATTTTAAAGGAGGCCGGAGAGGATAACAGACGTCGTCTTAACGTGCGTGGCCAAGGGGATCGAATCCTAGGACAGGTTTATCGTTATATCCTGCCTGGAGGTGCTCAACAAGATCAGTCAGCAAGACAGTAACGAAGAAATTGTCACATTTGGCCTGGCAGATAATGTTTATGAACTCATATGCAGATTTCTAGCTATAAGTGACGTAGCCCTCTTAGTGTATAGTCTGGAATGTCTGTACGCTTTAACGTCACTGGGTGCGTTAACCGAAAGTGAGTACATATCCTGATAATTTCTAAGTAAATTAATTGTAATCGTTAAATTTAATTGTCAAATTTAATTGTTAAAAGTAAAATTTTTACTAATTAGGTTACGAGTATTACGACTGTTCGGACTGTTATGAGTTACGAGAATTGTGGCCGGATTGTTAAATAAGAAGAAGACGCAGATACATCGCAAAACGGTCGCCAATCGGGAATTACGGGTAGAATTATTCCGTTGCAACGAGGAACTGACGAGTGTTGCTGCTGCATACAAAAGTTTTTCCACCTCTATTTTGTGGATAGACATATACACGAAAATGTATGAAGACGAAGGCTCGGACGAAGGTAAGATGTGAATTAGTTATATTCTTTTTTAACAGATCTATTGCGAAGTAATTTGAAAATTCTAAGTTCACTTCAACAACTTATTGTCAAACTTATCTCTTTATATAAAACTTTTTATTGTCGGTCTGACTGGCAATAATTTAATAATTATAACAACGTTTCGACCTCTATTTTGGGTCCTTATCAAGCTAATGATAGATCAATGTTCGTCGAACATCATAACATTACGAGTCATCGTTAAACATTAACGGGGCAGTAAAACAGAATATAAACTTCGTGAGGCATGACCGTCACGTGTAGCGCCCGTGTAACGACGTCGTTCGACGCACATTGATCTATCATTATTCATTAGCTTGATAAGGACCCAAAATAGAGGTCAAAACGTTGTTATAATTATTAAATTATTGCCAGTCAGGCCGACAATAAAAAGTTTTATATTATTTTATCACTGGCGAAAGATTATTTTTGAATTATCTTTTTATCATTATCGAATTTGATTGAATTTGACAAGTCAAATTTAGTTTCATTTATCATTTCTTTTTATCCAACAGATCCTAAATATACGATTTATTTTCGTATTAACGAACAGCCTTCCTTCGCTGAAAGAGGATTGACCAGAAATAAATATCTTAATTTGAAATGTACGTGCTTTTTTCATGAATTTATATATAAAAATACAATTAATATGTTATCAAATATTTTTAACTGATTGTTATGTAATATTGAAATGATAATTTCAGATAATGACAAAGAGACTTGGGAGTTTATCCAAGAAATGTACTATCTAAAAGTTAAAGAGTGGAACCCTGCTGTCGATGTTTTGTACCGATCGATTGACGATATTGATTAGTAAGTTTATCAGAATAATTACTGCAACTGGCTTAGGATTTTCAATTCATTTTCTATAATTTCAAATTCCTTCCTTATTTTATTATAGCACACCATTGCCAACGCAACCACATGCTGGGAACAAGAGTCCCCTGGTTTCTCATGCATGTGACACAGAATCAGTGACGTCATGCAATGCAGTAAACTCTCATCACGAAGTACATCAAGTACATGATATATCAGCAGCAGGTCCATCTTCCAAGTCCAACAACGAATGTTCTAATGCCAATGTCGTGAATTCTAAAAGTCTTGAGAATGAAACGGAATTAGTTGTGGAGAGGAATAATTCAAGGTAAAAATTGCAATTAATTCATCTTTTATTTTTTTTGTTTCCTCATAGAGGACGCTTTATTTTCGTAAAAAAAATTAAAATGTTCGTATGTGTGCGTATGTGTGTGTGTATGTGCGGATCTACTTGCATATTTAAAAACTGAGGAAGCAATGTGCAAGTTTCTACTTACACATTTAAAAACTATCAGTTTTAATTTGATAAGCATAGTTATATTATTTACAGTATCAGGAAAAAAAGTTCTGTATGGGCCTATTTTAAAGACAAGGATGATAAAGGTGCTGTATGCATCATTTGCAATGTTAAAGTTAAGCATTGTGGTGGGACAACGAATTTAAAATCACATTTGTCCAGAAATCATCGATTATTGTGCTCTGATATATTAAAGCAAAACAGAGATACTACATCTGAATCTAGTAGTGAATCGACAGCTAGAGATGAAGATGATCCGCCGCTTAGACGAATAAAATTGGCATCAAAGGTAATGATAATGATTTTTAATAAGCCTACTACTTTTGATCGAAGTTTGATAACTTCGAAGCTTCGAAGGAACGAAGGAATCTTCGAAGGAACGAAGATTCGAAAAATCAAAGCTTTGACAGATTTCGAAGGAACGAAGCTTCGAAGGTTCGAAGTTTCAAAAAATGTGTTAAATCGTAAACTATCACATTTATATGCTTCATTTTTTCTACTTACTACACATCACAGACGCTGTAACTAGAAAAAATGAAGCATAAGTGTGATAGTTTACGATTTAACACATTTTTTTTTGAAACTTTAAACCTTCGATGCTTTGTTCCTTCGAAGATTCCTTCGTTCTTTCGAAAACCTTCGAAGCTTCGATTCTTCGAAACTTCGTTCCTTTAAAGCTTCGAAGCTTTGAAAAAGTAACAGTCCTAATTTTTAATACATAATAAAAAAATATAATAAAATTTGTTTCAGAAGAGCAAGTTACCTCGAATCGACGAAGCCTTTGAGAGGGCAAATTCTTTCGCAGGTTTGTAACAAATTTCAAACAATTAATAAGTAGGTTAGTCAAATGGTCGAATGCTCGTTTATCATTTTCAGAAGGAGGAGCACGGTCTGACAAAATTACTGCAGCACTAATGTTTATGATCGCCAAAGACAAAGAACCACTATCCATAGTTAATAAAGAAGGTTTCAAGGTTTTGATGAAAACAGTAGCTCCACTTTATCGTATACCTGATCAAAAGACTCTAACTAAATTAATGGATAATCGCTATGTTGAAGCAAAAGAATGTTAATCCACTCTTGAAAAAGCTTTGTCCTATACTTTAACATGTGATAATTGGACAGACTGTACTTTCCAAAGCTATCTGGGTGTCACCATTTATTACCTGTCTGAAGATCTTGTAATGAAAAATGGATTGGGAGTCTTTCCGCTGCATACAAATCATACAGCAGAGTACCTCACAGAGTGTCTCAATTCTGTCATTGATGATTTTAAATTAGATCGAAAAAAAATTATGGCAATCACCAGTGATGGAGCAGCAAATATTAAAGCTGCTGTACATAATGTTGTAGGCTCTGAAAGACATATCTGGTGTTTTGCTCATTTTTTGTCTCATCTTGTACCTAAAATATTAAAGGATATGCCAGAGATCAACAATATTATTGCTACAGTAAAGAAAATTGTCGTGCTTATCAGAAGAAGTGTTGTGGCTACAGATGAGTTAAAACGGTTACAAATACTTGATGGAAAGACAGAGGGAACCGTCTTGAAATTTATTCTTGATGTTCCGACTCGCTGGAATTCCACTCTTTACATGTTAGAGAGATTTCTCGCTCTGGAGCAGTACGTTTATGCAGTTACTTTGAGATGCAAAAGATCAGACATTCCAGATATGTTAACTCATAGCCAAATTGAAGTCCTACAGGAAGTTGTGTCTCTCATGAAACCAATTGAATATGTCATTAAGGAAATCAGTGGCAGCAAATATCCTACTTGCAGTACTATTATACCAATCATTCACTGTATGACACTATCAATTGAACAAGTTAAACCTTCAACAAACAACGGAAGTTTTTTTCAGAAAAAGCTCCTTGAATCGATTCAAGATAAATTTAAAAATGTTGAAAATAATATGATTCTCGCGGTCCCTACAATACTTGATCCACGATTCAAACGAATCGATTTTCAAAATGCCCGTGCAGCAGCTGCTGCTGTGGAACGAATCAATAAAGAAATGAAATTGATTGGTGGGAAAAAAATTCAAGAAAAAAGATCTGCAGTTCAACAAGACTCTAATGAAACTATTTGGAAGGCTCATGACGATATGGTGGCAAAGAGTACTGATGAGAGTACGGAAGATGAACATCTTGCCCATGAATTAAGACAATATTTAAAGCAATCGGTAATTGCTCGACATTACGATCCATTTCAACATTGGAAATCCTTACAGAATTCGTTTCCAACGCTGTACGAACTGGCAATTCGATACATCAGTATTATTAGTACCTCTGTACCATCAGAAAGGAAATTTTCCGAGGCTGGTGACATCAAGAGCAATGAGAGAAATCGATTAACGGGTGAGCACTTGAATCGACTCTTATTTCTGGGATCTCTTTCAAAAGAAGAATGGAAATTGGAATGAAGAATTTTTCTGCATCTAGACTCTTATTATTCATTCCCAATTTTTTCATTTTACTTATATATATTACTTACCTTACTTATATAACTTAACTTACTTATATAACTTAACTTACTTACTTATATATATTACTGTTACCTTGACTTATATTCTTATTCTTATTATTCTCGGTTTATTTTTATACAATGTGCAATGTGTGCAATGTTTATTTTTATGCAATGTGCAATGTGTGCAATGTTTATTTTTATACAATGTGCAATGTGAACATTACATTTGCACTTCAGACATTTGTTGGTTTTTTTTAACAAAAAGATTGTACTATGTACTTATTCATTAGAAAGAAATACATACTGGCATAATTCTTTTTTTCCTTTATTCTGCTTTTTATATTGGTGACCTTGAATCTGCTGTTTGATTTTTTTATTTCAAATTGATGATTTTCTAAGTGAGTACGAGTCAAGTCAAGTATGAATTTTATCATGGGCACACTTACTTTCTCATGGACCTTAATTATACATATTCCCTTCTATGTATATATCATCGGAAATAATCAATTGTTTTTCTTTCCAGGACCACTTTCATTTACAAACGGCAGTCTCAAATCTACTACTACAAATTCAAATTATCTGAAGAAATATATGGTAAGATTGGTAAGAAAATGATAGAACAATAGACAAATAACAAAAAAAATTTCTAAAATATTTAAAATTGTTTAGCGATAAAAATAAAATGAACTTTATATCAAAAAGTTGATTTCTTTTCAAATACCATTTTATGTAGGTGTTAAATTAATACAGTGTTAAATTAACACTGTTAATATTAAAAAATTATAAAAATAATTTAGTTTTTTAAACGGTTCTCTTTTTTAGTTTTTGATTGCCGTTTGTAAATATTTAAAAAAAATATATATATATAGAATCGATATATCGATTCTTCGATTTTTTTTAAATAATCGATATTTTATCGATATATCGATTCTCCGATTTTTTTTGCAATAATCGATTATTTAGTATCGATTTTTTTCGTTTTTATCGATTCTTTCGATATCGATTTTTTCTACAAAATCGCGCATCCCTTTTTCTTTTAAACGGTTATTATGTATATACCTATTTCATTTTAAGTGCAGAGAGTGCAGCAACGAGCGAGAAATCACAAATCGATGTTACACTTTTTTTTATGAATTTTGGAACACGCATCGTTATTGTAAATGATAAATGTATATAGCGTATATATATATAAATTGTTACTTATATACAAGTATAATTAATATAATTGATTATAATTTTACATTCAAAACAATATATAAATAAATAATTAGAGATTATATTATTACATATTTCAGTCATAAACATATATTTTCAGATACATATATATTAAATGTTTTAGTAATAAAATTCAAATCAGATAGGGAAAAAAGGATATACATAAATATATAAAATTTTTTAAATAACATAATTTATATTTGTAATAACATAAATACGTCTGTGCTAAGACCGTTTATATGTATAAATAATAATAATCGTAAACATTTTGCAGCATTGCACGATTTATAAATTGTATACTAAAACAAACACGCGCTATTGCATATTATTTCAACAAAGGTTTATAACATTTGATTAGCTTTGGAACAATATAAACATTTTTGAAACTCTCCAGTTGAATTACAATTAATTCGATATTTTATAATGCCCAACAAATATATCAATCATTTCTCGCATTTTTTCATTGTAGGATCGAATTTTTATCAGTCATCTTTCAAATTGATTTAATATGCTGTTAAAGAATTCTGCTTGTGTGTTTAATAAAAATAGAATAAATTATTTAAAAAAGTGTATCGAAGTAGATACTGATTTGAATAACAAGTATCTTTTGACAAGTATCAGAGAATTTCACCATCAACTCGGGAAATTTATATATTAGAATCTGGCTAGAATTAAATACTGAATCTTTTACTTTATACATTAAAATAATGAACTCAATACGGATTACAATCCTATTAATACGTTCTCTGCAATTCATATCACAAGATGGATAAAAAAAATTGAATAAATTTTAAGCGAGAAGCAATTCGGCATAATGTATACGTATATAATGATTTAGATTTAAAAGATCCATAATAGATGAAATACAGAGGCAGTAAAGTAGTTGAAGTCAACAAAATAGCTAATTGAAAGGAGAATTAAAATTATCCGAACATATTCTTGTCAAACTGCTTCTTTCTTTCTTGCTGAACGCTATATACTTAATCACAGATGTTCTCAAAAGTCGCTAGAAAGGCATATACTAATAATCAGCCGTGCGATAACAGTCCAAGTGTAAAATATATATCGTCAGTCACCTACTACAAATTTATTCGTAGTTTCTCAATTGAAAAAAGCGTCATCATGAAATAAATTGGACCCGCGATTCTATGAAATTATCTACATGTACGTATGATATTCATTCCATCTATGCTATCTATGTAATCGTACTTAGCAAGTACTAAGCTTATTTATATTTTGCTCGTTATAAATAATTGAGTATTCAGAATGGCTGTCCTAATAATATTCCACAATACTATAGTTTGAAAAGCTGAAGAGGCAATTGTACGCATATTACATTGTTTTCTTTTTATAGACAATTTTTATCAATTTTTAAAATATATTTATAACTAATATACATGTTTGTTTTGAGAGAATGGAAATTAAGGAAGAAAAGAACCATTTCTTATACATATTTTCACTCAAATCGAGTAAATAAAGATTAAACCTTCATTTACTCTGCACAGCAATCGTTCATTATGTAATTTGAAATTTATGCATGGAATTAACGGCTAGAGACTAGGGCTGATGATTTGCTTCGAAGCTTCGAAGACACCTTAAACTTCGAACTTGTGAAAAATAACAGCCCTATTAGAGACCAAGTATGTGTGTTGTGTGGACTTGAAATATGATTTACTCTGAGTGTATAAAGATGCCTTATATGTAATTTTATAACAAATTCCCATTATACACCCAAAGACAATTATACATGTGTAAATATAATATACATCTATCTACAACACACAAAACTCCTATTTTTAGTTTACACGTTTTATCTATTATGCTTGCAGTTCTTGTAGCTTCTTACACGAAGGTGTTTCGAGATTTTTAGCTTTCATGAATAGATCTTGATCTCCCAAATTACGGGCTTTCCACATTATACCTTCCCCTATTAGAAAACAAATTTGAAATATCTTGAGAATGTTTACGATGGACATATTGAAAGAGATAAAAGAACCAAATACATACTGTAATTCCTTTCTCTGGCGCAGCTTTGCCTCAAATTACTCACGTACTCCTCTTCAATTGAAATTTCTAGCCTACGTAAACTCCCTTGATATTCACTATGAAAGTTCTCTTTAACATAATATTGAACTTTCAAAACTTGAGTTGTTCTGGCCACAGAATATTTCCTGCAAATGAGGAGGAAATCATTACGTATCTCATCCTGCGAAAATCTTTATTGACATTGGAATAATTACACAGTACAAATTTTCAAAAATTTCTCAAGTTTTTTGACCGAGGATGTATATATGCTATACTGGAATGCGAACTCTACTCTAGAAGCGAGATGAATTTTGTTTCCAATCCGACCTTTTTTATTGCTGTACTTTTCGAGAATAACGGAATATCATTGACCGCAATCAAAAGTCCGCTAAACAGACACAGAAATGGAAACAAAGCAACCCATCCTTTTCTTCTTGGTGCCCGGACGTTAGCAGGGAAGCTCGCATTCCGGGACACGTGGAACTTTTCGAAATGGATTCCGATCGGAATTGTTTAGTTGTTTCCTACATTTCTATTGTGTTTTCTAGGGAAAACAGAATAATTTCGATCGGAATTCATTCCGAAAAGTTCCGTAATACGTGCCCAGGAGATTGAGCTGAATTTTCCCCAGTTAAAAAACTTGAAAAATTATGGGACGTGTTGTATGTACAGTGTTACTCGTGAGTTATACTTACGAACTCGAGTGCAGACTGTATACCGGGTCGGATATGAAAAAACTGCTCATCATGGTTAACAATATTAATAACAGAACTGGCAACAGCTGAAGAAATGACGTATATCCATTTGCTTGCTGAAAAATATTGTTGGATTTAAAAAAAAAGAAAGAAAAAAAGAACAGTACTTTGAAATTGGGCTTAACGCCTTTCTGCTCTACCTGATTATGAGCATGTTGCGCTTGTGCCTCTGACTGCCGCATCCATCTCCCACCTGGTCGACGCATATAGAATTCTTGTTGCGGGAAGCCAACGCCGAAAAACATGTTGAATAACTCTTCGGCTGTGATATCGGCTAAAGAGATATTATAGATTATATTTTGATACATGAGAGAACTTGTACGATATTCTCACGACACACGTCTCCACTTTCAACACTCTCTCTAACCTTCAAATCCACGGGTATAGTTATAATGTGTATGGCCTTGGCGGGTGTGCACGTTCTGCATTCGTTCTTCTTCAGGACCGTACGTGTCGTACTGTTTCCGTTTCTCCGTGTCAGTAAGAATAGCAACCGCATTACCAATAGCTGCATAAAAGATTTCTCGCATAAAGTCAAGTAAATTTGCAATAGCAAACCTAATTTCACTTTTTTCCCCACTATCTCGACATACCCTTAAAAGCTTCGGCGGCGCCTGGCGCTTTATTCTTGTCAGGATGTAATTGAAGCGCTAATTTCTTGTAAGCCTTCTTAATGTCGCTGTCCGCAGCGTCTTTGCTGACTCCCAAAATCTCGTAATAATCCTTGCATTTTTTAATCCTACAATAACCAAACAAAAAGAAACATATTTATCCAAGATAATTAAATAAATAAAATACAAATTGATAACAGCATTGTATTCTCAAGTAATCAAAACAACCTCGAAACACCTACCTCTTCACGTGCTCCAGCTGCTCTTTCGAATATTCAGAGTTACTATGGGAATGTGTTCCATCTTTGGCTACATTTTGTCGCTTTCTAACGTTAGGCTCAGCCGACTCCGATTTCTGATTCTGCTTGGTGAGTACCGTCACGTCCGCCAGCAGGTCTATAAATACAAATTATTTGATTCCTGTAACCATCAGTACTCTGACTAAGAGAAGAAAGGTGCGTTCTCGTAAAATGTAAGCCTGAAAGCCTTTTATTCCGCCTGAGTACACGTGGCTAATGCAAAGTCAACAAAGAAGCCAAGATTCGACGCTGTGCTTCGAACGGAGTGGAGAGATCGTGAGCTGACAACACGTACCCTCGGCTCT